TCTCTCTCTCTCTCTCTCTCTCTCTCTCACACACACACACACACACACACACACACACACACACACTCTCACTCACTCACGTCCCTCCACCTTTTTCTTGACTTATGTCACTTATAACTTCCATGTGGGCTCAGAGATGAATAGCAGAAGATAGGAGGAGAAACATTTGACTCAAACAAGATTCAAGCTATTCCTCGGTGTAAAAATAAAGTTCCAATTACACAGAGTAAATAAAAATATTGAAAAACAATTTGATTTGCATGGGGTTTTTGATGTTGTTTCCTTAAGCACAATAATTCCTAAAAGTAGTTTAAATATTTGCACTGTTGAAATTCAAGAAGCATTCCAATGTAGGAAAGGCAACTTTGTGACTTAAAATATTCTGTGCACATACATGTACAGAATAGGTGCATTGGAATTTTATCTGTACTAAAATTTACGGTTGAAAGCCTGACCCCACTGAATCAATGGCAGAAGAAATACATAGAAGAAAGTGGAAAACCACAGAGTTTCTGAACAAGCGAAGAGGAAAACGTGACAGGGTCTGTTGTGAATAGTTTTTTAGATACTGGAGGAGCTGGACTGTGATACAGAGATGAGTTCCTTTAAAACAGGGAACACAACCTATAGTGTTCGCTTTGGCAAGTATTAGGGATTGTTTTCCCCTAAGACACCCACACACAGTGGAACACATAGGCCAACAATGCTAACCCAACTCAGTGCTCATAGCCAGATCCCCAACTGGTATAACTAAGCCTAGCTCCACTGAAAGAGTACACGTACACAATGGAGAAGGGATGCAGGTCTACACGGTAGGGAACAAGCTTGCCCTGTCAGGGAGATGGACTAAATGACTGAATGGATCTTTGCCATTTCCTCTGTGAACATTTACAGTACCTTTGGCAGCTCCATTATTCTGTGATGATGATGAGGGTCTCCTCTGGGTGAGGAAAACTCCAGGTGCCATAGGTTGAGAGCCTCTGTTTACTTGGGCGACCCCAAACGTGCTTGCTCCGGCAGTGTATTCATGATCTGCTAGGCTGCTGGCATGGGACTCCAATTTGGGTTCAGGAGAGCTGCCTTCCTGAGAGAGTTTATTTGTGTTGTTGGGGGACAACTTCTTTTTGGTATTCTTCTTCTTCTTGCCTTTTTGTTCCTCCTTTCAATAAAGCACAGAATCCCCATTCAGCTACTGTGACAACTAGTGGCATTTGTTAACATTGTTACACTGTGTATCGTGTCAAGAATGGGGATATTGTCAGAACTGGATAAAGACACAGAGCTAACAGGGTTGCTAGAAACTCAAAGTGAGAACTGATCACAACAGCATTGTTTCCTGGTCTGTTAGTTGCATCCACCTGCTGTATCTTGTCATAAATTGTGAGCTCTTAGGGGCAGGGACTGTCATTGTATTGTGTTTGTACAGCACCTAGCACAATGGGACCTTGATACATGTCTCAGGCCCCTAGGTGCTGAAGTAATTAATACAAATAATATTGATACAAGATAAATATAATGGGCCTGATTCTCAATTACACTAAGGAACCTTTATGTCACTCTGGCAGTATAACAAGGCCTTAGAGTGGGCAAAATTGGCCCCCTGAGGACACTACTAGTGCAGGTGGTCTGGCAACCAGCCAGTAGAGAGCTGATGTAAAGATATAAACTGGTTCTTCCTTAGCTCCCTGTGTGGGCTGCCTGTCAGGGGAGTGGTCTGGGTGCACTACTCTATGGCTACTCTCTGTTTCCCAAGGCACACGGAGGGCTATGGAAGACAGAAGATAAATTGGTGTAGACCTGTGGCTGCTCTAACATTCACTGAGGGCTGGGCAGGTCCCTATGGAGCCCCAGTATATGGGAGCACAAAGATGGCTTAAAGCCACCTTTCCCTTGTCCATTCCTGATCCAAGTATAGGAACAGAGTCATTGAGAATTAGGCTCAAAATTTTTCATCTCATGGGGAAAAATTAACGTCTGTGCAGAAGTTCGCTGGGAGTAATGTCAATGTAGAGCACAACCCTATGTACATAGGCCTGTAATAGCTCTCTGTATTGTGGTGAATTTCACTCACAATGGAGGAACAATTTAAACTCCATAAGGACGATAGCAGGCTGATATTGGAAAAGCTTTGGTAACCTGTTAAAAATGGGATTACTAAACTGGAAAATGTAGCTGAGTTCTATGATATGTGTTGATATCGCCTTCTAGTGTCTTTTGGTACTTTAAAAAGGATTTTAAAATTATTGTGTTGAGGCAATGTAGTTTTGAACCGTGGGTACTGCATTTGGCCCTACTTCCTATGAGGATTTTCCGTAAGCATCCATAAGTTCAGCATGTTTGTATACAAACATCCATTTTCATAACTGAATGTAAGTTTATGGAATAAGAAAAAACTTTATTGCAACTTTCAGATGTAACATAAAAAAATTAAATTCAAAAAGATGATGAAAATCTGGCATAATTCTCAATTTTGAATTACTTAGAGTAACATTTTAAAAAACACTTAAGAGACTTAGGTGTCTGAATCCCATTTTTGAAAGGGACTTAGGTGCCTAACCTGCTTAGGCACTTTTGAAAATCCCATAAGGTGCCTTTGAGCATCTTTAAGGGCCTAAATACCATTAAAAATCTGGCACCAAATACCTAAGGTAATTTTGAAAATAGGACTTAGACTCCTAAATCACATAAGCACATATGTAAATTTACTCTTTAATCTTATTAACGTAAAAGCTTACACTGAAGCTTTCCCCCAAATTCTTCTTTGTTTACCTGATCTGCCCAACTGATAATTTTGTCAGCGTGCTTAAAGCACCTAATTGAACTAGAAACCTCTAATCTGCAGTGTCGTCGGAAATCTGAAAGTGTGATTTAGGACCTGATCCTGTTTCTATTGAGGCCACTGGGATTTTTGTCACTGAATTCAATGAGTACAGAATTGGACATGTACAGTAATTAAACATGAGCTGTTACGACAACATAGTTAACATTCAACAAGCAACAGAAAAAGACGGGGAAGTGCTATGGCTCCATTCGAAAATAAACATAATTTTCTAAGGGAAAGCTACCTAGTATGCAAACTCACCTGCTGGGATAATTTGGCCGCTGCTGCCGCCAGTCCAGTTTCAATGGAGGCAACTCTTGTACCCTCTCGGACAGGTCTGTCTTGTCGGGGTACTGAGGGACCAACTCTTGCTAAATGTAAGAACAAAATGAAAATACAGTATAACAGATACTCTGTGTAGGGGGAACACTGCATTCCTATAGAATGAGGGGCATGGGGGTGACAAGGGCAAGACAGAGCTTATTTTTAAATAGACATTCTACTTCAGTGGGGCTAACAACTATAATTGCCAAGTGTTAGTAAGGCCATTGAGTGGCAGATGTGGAAACAGAGCTCAGGACTGCACTTAAACTATGTAGCTTTTGGAAGGAAACCCATTTCTCCTCCCGATTTTCCAAAATTGTCCACATTTAATGAAAAATCAACCATTCATGGAATGTGAATGTATTCCAAATGAACAGGCAAAATGCTTCATAGGGATTTTCCACAAACTCTTCCCAGCCCACCTGGCCAAGGGAGAATTCTTCCAGGGCAGGTGCTGTACAAGGCTCCCATAAGCAACCCTAACCCTGTCCATCCTAGCCCCACTAGTGTAGCAGGTAGCACATTCTGGGTGGCTCAACAGACAGCCCGGGTCAGGCTGCTGTAAATTAGAACAGCCCTGGAGCACTCCAATATACACCAGGAGCTGCACTGGCCCCCAATTGGCCCACAATCTGGGCACCGTAAAAGGTGGCACTTCCTGTAAGGCACAGCACAGAAACTGTTCCTAGCAGTTTTACTGAGCTTTTGATGGAAACTGGGGGAATAGTTTATATTCTCTATTTTCTTTTTTAATGCTTTATATATATAAGGTGTGGGCTGCCTCAGAACTGCAAGATTTCTCCACTACATCATCATAATACTAGCAATACATCATCGACTTCACCGGCAGGATGTAAAAGATACCTACAACCTACAGGAGATTACCTTTATTTTTAAAAGGTAGCTGAAGAGAAACGTCTAGAATGTGTTAGATTCAACTTAGTGTTCACTACAGTGGAACTATTTAAAAAAAAAGTTAGTCTCTCAACTGAGAAATCTAGACGAGCACAATCTTTATGGTAAAAATAATAAAATCCCGTTGTTCTTTTCTAGGTTTTCAATTTGAAATATCCGCCCTGAGTCTGAACATCCAAGACATAATGGACTTGCCTGTCGGGCTGTAGGGGGCATCATCAGAACTTTTTCTTTTCTTTGATCGTGATTTGAATACTGGATTATCTTCATCGGATTCCAAAGATGGGTAAACTAAACCAGGAACAAAAAAATAGCTTTTATTGCAGCAGTATTAAACAGGAGTTTGAGGTAAGTACGAATCACCCATCAGTGTAGAACTGGATGAGCACAGTGGTGAATCAGGCCTAGAGTATCTATGTAATAGACTGCGGCCAAGGGTAGCACACAGAATGAAATGTCTGAAAGGCACTGATGCCCTGGGGATAGGGCATTAGACTAGGAATCAGAGGAGGTGTGCTCTGTTCCCCGCAATGCCACTGACTTGCTGTGTGGCCATGGGCAAGTCACTTCACCTCACTGTGCCTCTGTTTTCTCTCCTACCCCTTGCCTGTCTTCTGTTTAGATTGCAATCTCTTAGGGGCACAGATTGGCTCTTACTCTGCGTTGACACACTACCTATCACCATGGAGCCCCTAATCTCAGTTGGAGGCCTCTAGGTGTTATTGTAATGAAAATAATAATACAGTTTTTGATTCACAGCACGTGATGTTATTCTTGGCTTGGAAAAGCCAGTCCTCCCCTCACATACAGCTGGGCCTATTTGGAGTACCTGTCATTATCAGGTGCATGGGGGATGTTACTCCCCAATCGGATAGGTCAGCACATAGGTCATCTCAATGGACATTTGGTGACCCTCACATGGTTTGGAACAGAATTTCCTACATGTCTAAGAAACACAGACAGAGTGTGGTACCCTTAGGAGAAGAAGGTGTTTAACAAGCTAAATGAGAGTCAACAGTGTAACCCTGTTGCAAAAAAAGCAAACATCATTCTGGGATCTATTAGCAGGAGTATTGTAAGCCAGACACAAGAAATAATTCTTCTGCTCTACTCCGCGCTGATTAGGCCTCAACTGTGTCCAGTTCTGGGCGCCACATTTCAGGAAAGATGTGGACAAATTGGAGAAAGTACAGAGAAAAGCAACAAAAATGATTAAAGGTCTAGAAAACATGACCTATGAGAGAAGATTGAAAAAATTGGGTTTGTTTAGTCTGGAGAAGAGAAGACTCAGGGCTTGTCTATACTTACCGCGCTGGTTCGGCGGCAGGCAATCGAACTCTAGTCTGGACGCGATAAATCGAACTCAGAAGTGCTCCCCGTCGACTCCGGTAATCCTGCTCACCGTGAGGAGTACGCGGAGTCGACGGGGGAGCCTGCCTGCCGGGTCTGGACGGCGGTAAGTTCGAACTAAGGTACATCGACTTCAGCTACGTTATTCACGTAGCTGAAGTTGCGTACCTTAGTTTGATTTGGGGGTTTAGTGTAGACCAAGCCTCAGAGGGGACATGATAAGTTTTCAAGTACATAAAAGGTTGTTACAAGGAGGAGGGAGAAAAATTGTTCTTCTTAACCTCTGAGGATAGGATAAGAAGCAATAGGCTTAAATTGCAGCAAGGGCGGTTTAGGTTAGACATTAGGAAAAGCTTCCTAACTGTCAGAGTGGTTAAGCACTGGAATAAATTGCCTAGAGAGGTTGTGGAATCTCCATCACTGGGGATTTTTAAGAGCAGGTTGGACAAACACCTGTCAGGAATGGTCTAGATAACACTTAGTCCTGCTTGAGTGCAGGGGACTGACTAGATGACCTCTCGAGGTCCCTTCCAGTTCTATGATTCTAATATCAGGATAAAAGTGAGGCCATTGGATACCCCCGACGAGAGGTGGCTGCTTGCCAGTTTGCTGAATAGCCCTATTTTGATCACACTGGTTGGGTGAGAAGTATGTGATTAATGCCACTTCTTAGACCTTTCTCGGAGTAAACAGAGCGGTTGACTCTACATTACATGGGCCCAGTGCTAATGTTCATCTGCGGGAAAAACTCCTTCTGTTTTTAATGGACCTTGTGTGGGGCATGTGGAATTTGGTCCAGTTAAACCACAGGCAGAGGCTCTTGGCCAAAACACAGAGCTATTCTCACATTATTAGTCATTAAAATTATTACTCCATAAAATCCCCCACTGTACTCAATAAAATGCTGTTCTGTTAAACAATGCTGGGATGGCATTGACACAGCTCACTCCCTCAAGACCTCTTCCCCTCTCTCTGCTCACTGTAAACCATGCACGTCTTACTGAGTGACTAAAAATAAAGGGTCAAATTGTCCCCACTTGAGAAAAAACAAATGTAGGAAACAGAAGTCACAGTGAGTTCTCACTCACAAGGTTGTCCGTCCATTAATGAGAAGGGAGTTCATCACCCCTGTACTCGTTAGTGTCCCAGGTTCAGGGTAGATCTCAGAACCCTGGCTATCAGTACTGGTTCTCATTGGTTCCTGCTCTCATCCAGCCCCAATACAAACAGATCTAGTCCCAGCTCCTTCCACCTTCTGGATCCATAGCGCCCCAACCTGGAGCTCTAGCATGGAAAGGCTTGGGAGTCAGGGGAGGGAATGCTGTAGGGGAAAGTTTGCCTTCTTTATGTTTGGGGGCTTTTCCTCCCCAGTTTGATCCTCAGAGTTTTACTTTCAATCCCAGCTTAGTATCTCGAATGATCCTGGCTAATGAATCAAAGTAATTGTTCCCTTCACTTCTCAGAGGACAGAGCCTTCTTTTAAATAATGAATGGGATTTGTTTGTTTTCAAAAGATTAAATCTGACTGTTTCTTTGGCAGGGAGGGGAAAAAACAAGGCTGGATTAAAGCACAAGCTCACTGCAGGCCAGTGCCGAGGACTCCTGCTCCTGGACTGATGTGATCACATCAGAATCTCAACTTCATTTTAAAAAAGGTAAGTTCTAAGCCCCCATAGTGGTGAAAACAGTTTGAAAATATGACCCAGGTGTAACCGATGCAGTGATGCTTGCCTGAGCCTGCAGGCAGCCTGAAACAATAGCTCTGAGAGGGTTGAACAGGGTATTAACTCTTACGAGCCACTCTGGAGAGTCTCACCAACACAATGCAGCAAATGATTGCATATACCGGAGAGGAGGAGTGCTGCAGGCCTGGCCCACCTACCCATCCATGCAGCTACTGGGGTAAGTCCTGGGGTGCCCCTCTCCTGCCAACCCTGCCTTTCTGGGGGAGAGCGGGAAGCCCTGCTGCTCCCAAGAAGGGGAAATTGCCATTCCTAGGGTACAGAAGGTGATCCCATGCTACCGCCCTTGTCAGTCTGAGAGGGGCCGGGGAACCTCTGCCGCTCTGTGTGTGTGTGGAGATGGGGGCGGGGGTGGGCTCAGACAGGGCCACAGGAGTCGGGGGCATGGTGACCTGTGTTGTGGTATGCCTAAGGTCCCAGATTGTCTTCATTCCCCTCCCCCCACCCCACAAAAAAAAATCAGATTTGTTTTGTTTTGTTTTTCCCCAGTCATTCATTAAATCACGCTTGAAAAGTCAGGTGTATTATTGTTAAATATATGAAGAAAATCCTGGCTCATGTTTGCCTGAACCAGCTGTGTCAGCAAATATTAGGGTTCTGTGAGACATTCAGAAACACTCAACATCTTTGCCTTTCACATTTTGTTTCACTTTCACTAAATTTCATTGGGTTTTGCTCACAAATAGCTGCAGTTGTGAAACCTTCAGAGGCAGCGGGATCTAGTGGGCAGAGAATGGGACTGGGAACCTGGGACTGCTGGCTTGCTTTGCCACTCACTCAGTGTGTGGCCTGGCGCAAGTTACTTAACCCTTCTGTGTTTCCATTTCCCCTTCAGTAAAAGGTAGATAATTATTGACCAACCCACATGAGGAGAAGGGCAAGAGAACGTATTAGGTGCTATCGAAGTGCTAAATGTCATCAGCGATACCTTGTATAACAACATCAAACCCTTCCAGTCGCTCTACAAATACCTTAGTGGTAGTGAGATAAACGGACTGAGGGTGAGAGGGCAGGTGGTGTTTATGAAAACCTTGAAAATGTTTTTTTCTGCAGCCACATGCCACCTGAACTGTTCTCTCCATGAACATTTACAGTTCTTTTGGGTGAATGGTAACAATATCATTTGAGTTTTATTCAATCCTCTGTATATACACACTCAGACTCCTCGATAGAGGGTTTTTTTTTAAATGTGCATTTACTTTTTCATTTCAATGTTTGCCTGTTAAAGCAATGTACGGTTATAATGTTACTGCTTAATTTAGCCCCTGAACTGAAAATCTGCTGACCAGATGCAATACAAATGGAGTCTTTATAAACTCAGACTGCTTACAACAAAGAAAACCCATTAAATAATAGCATAAATATATAATTAGCAAAAATGTTGGGGTTTAAAATATCACCCTGTCCATTTTCCCATTGTCACATGTAGATCATGTGTATAAATTACACTTTCACAGAATTTGTCATGTAATTTATCCTGACTGATTCGCCTACAAGGTGCTGTAACTGCAAACCAGAAACATGCACTTAACTTCTTTTAAACATGTACAATATTTTCAAAATGTCTTGTTTTCATTAAGCATTTCAATTTGAACTTTAATATATGTGTATCTAATAGAGAAAGCAGATTTCAATGATGTTTTTTAAGGGTCACAGTCAGCAGCAGCATTTTAAAGTAACATTTTTATTATGCTGCTAAAGAGCTGCATACCCTTCTTGAGCCTGCATGACTATGTGGTTTTATCTCTCTCTGAGTGTTAATATTTTTAACTGCTCTCTCTCTCACACACACACACACTGCTTTTTCATATTATTAAAAAACTCACTTTCAGAATATAGTAAACTTAAAGCAGTGGTCTCAAAAATCCCTCTTTTCTTTTCAGTGCAGAGTTTAGCATTCTTGGCATTAAAACTTAAGATCATGCCCTCATCGTATCTAATTGAGGGGTTCTTTACTGACAGCTTCTCTGATAGTCATTTCATTCTACCTCACTGACACATAAGTATCACAGTTTCATGGTATACTGCATAAAGTTCTATTTTTAAATTAAATATATATGATTTAGGATATGGCTAATCTTGGTTTCAACGCCACTGCTGTGCTTGTTAAAATATTTTCCCTATACTACATAGAAGTGTAATATGTTTGGGTTCAATCTGAATAAAATATCAGTTTAATCTGTTTATCTAATCTCAAGAGTCTAATGTGTTTATTCTAATCTATTTATTCCTATCTAATTTAATCTAATCTATCTCTTCACCCTTGTCTAGCCAATCTAATCTCTTTCTTTAATCTTGCCTACTTTATACAGACTAATCTAGCAATATAGGCCCCCCAGTATACAAACACTGAGTAACTGTATGTACCAGATTAGTCCCCTTGATTTCAATGGGACTAACTAGAAGTGTATAATTAAGCACATGCATAAATACTTTCAGAATTGGGGCCATAGCCATAGAGATTAATTTGTTTTCTCTCACCATAATCAGAATCTTTAAAACAGGCATCTAAGTGGTCCTGGTCATCGTAGTCTTCAATGTCAATGCTGTTTTTTGTGCTCTTCTTCAGTAAGTGCTTGCCTGCATTTTTGTTGTTACTGCTCCCGGGTTTTTTTGAGTTTTGGGCTGAGATAGAGTTATTTTTAGCTTGGTTGGTACTCCATGAAGTCTGCAGGCAGGAGTCAGAAGACTGGAGATTTGCCATTGATAACATTCCTTGGATTGCTTCCTGTGTGCTGGGAGATGCAGGTGGCTGACTGAGGGAAAACATTAACAAAATAAAGAGCTTTAAGCTAATTACCAAATCAACAATGTGAAATAAACAGTATTCACTGCAAATACAGCTCAATTTGATTTCTGGATTAATGGCCTCACCACTGTGTAGGTGTTTAGTATGGGGAAATCAAGTTATACCAAGTATAGACCCATCAAGCATAGAAGGTTAGAAGGGCAAACAGAGGTTTGAGATAAAAATCAGGAAATCTTCCAAAATTTAGTTACATGAATGCTTTTTCACATGTCATATTTTGGGCGAGTGAGGAGAATAACCAAGTGACTCTCCCCACAACAAAAAGCTGGTAACCCAAGGACAATATAATCATCAAAGTCATGTCTCCAGTACCCATTTTAGAAGAGAATGATAATGAGTTACATATTAACTGTGGCTTGGATGAGCCAAGCTCCAAGATGGGTCGGCCAAGACCCAACAGTAAATGAGGGGCAACATCTAGTAGTCAAAAGAAATAAACAGGAGACTTTCTACAAAATCTTTCTTGGCTAGATCCTCAGCTGGTGAAAATCAGAGTAGGTCTACTAAAGTCAAAGGCCTTATGCCAGTTTTACTATCCGAGGATATGGCACTTTGTTCTTATTCTGAACTGACTCACTGATGACCTCCACTGTGATCAAATGGCCATCGCTATGATCACTTGAACACTGTGTCCACTCATGGAGGACAGGTCCATCAATGACTATTAGCCAGGATGGGCAGGGATGGTGTCCCTAGCCTCTGTTTGCCAGAAGCTGGGGATGGCTGATAGGGCGTAGATCACTTGATGATTACCTGTTCTGTTCATTCCCTCTGGGGCACCTGGCATTGGTCACTGTCGGAAGACAGGATACTGGACTAGATGGATACTTTGGTCTGACCCAGTATGATTGTTCTTATGTTCATAGTGTTTGCTTAGAGTTTTTCAGATTTGCCAAATTAATCACAAGTAAACTAATGGCATGTATTTTATTTCCTCTTCTATAAGTGGAGCAGAGTAGCGGGGGCAAAAAAATTAGGGTAAAATATTCAAAAGCGGCTTCAGTGACTTGAGAGCCCAAGTCCTATTTTCAAAAGTGACTTATGAGTCTATGCTTCATGGCAAATCAATAGGATTCAGTGAGCTCCTAAGTCACTGATGTGCTTTTGAAAATTTCACCCTTAATCTCAAACAAGATAACAAAAAGGGTTTGCCCATCACTGCTGGGCAACCTTCTTTCATTTTCATTCACTACCACCCCACCAAAGAAAGGAAATCCCAGCATCTGAATCTATCCAATGAAAGAACTGAGTTATAGTATCATTCCAAGCATCTCCTACACAACTGCCACACACATGGCTGGACCACTGTTAGATCCTGAAGGTCACAAGTGAAGTATGACAGGGTTTAGGGGACCCTGCAGCTGCAGCTCTATGAACACAGTGAAAATTCTGTTCTGCATTGTAAGGCTTGGATCATATGTTTAGAGCTGATATTTTGCACTAGAACATAACATATGGCTTCTCATTTGTGGTGTGTGTTTGTTTAGACATTCTGGTTCTTTTTTAGGAGTAAAATTTGTTATTAGTGGTGTTTGAAATTGCTTTTTTTTTAATTAGATAAAATATTGGCCCAATCTAAAAGCCTCACACTCCTGGCGATGAGTTCCTAGGCCTTGAGCCAGCAAGATAGTTAAGCATATTAACATGATTTCCATCACTGCAGAACTTGTACATTTCAGGTATTTGGGGTGTTTGGTTTGATAAAAATCTATTCTCAGATAACTGCACTGGCTTGGGTTTTATAACAACAACTTAATATTTGTAAATAGCCCTTCTCCCTGACCACCATCCTTCAGGGTGCTCAGGGTACTGTTCAAATTACACTTTGCAATGATACAGTTAGATACGGATCACGACAAAATACATCACCTTAAAATTACACAGGTAACACCCAATGTAAGGGCTTTTTATAGATTTCTACTATAAACAAGGAAATTAAATACATTTATTAAAAGATCAATGCTAACTCTTTTTACTGCAGTTCACAAACAGTACTGACAAATCCAGCACAGGCTGGGATGGCCTAGGTGACCTTTTCCAGCTCCAATTTCTGTTATTCTCAATAGGCAAGAACAGGGATTCAGAATTGCTGCTTTCTGTAGACTACAATGGACTTCTTACTCCCCCCGATCCCAATATATGCTCCTGGAACAGAAGTCAGGATCTACTGAAAAGGAAGAGGAAGGAAGGCCTTCCTTACGCTTGAGTACCGGCTGAAAGGACTGCTATATCAGGAGGTCAGAGCTGCTTGGAAGAGAGCTGAGGTGAGAATAAGGTGGGATCTAAGTACTTCCAGACAGAGGGTAAAATGACATGTTTCAGTTAGAGGTGAAAGTGATGGAATATTAACTCTGAGTGCTCACAGGACTAAGAAGCAAATGTCCTTGTCCTCTGACTCTGTTGGCCTAAAAACCCTTTCACTACATCTTTGCAAGTAAATTGCAGTCACACAAGAGTCTATTCTCCATCCATACTGAATCCTTCATTAGCATCAAAGGAAGTTAGTTATACCCCTATATTTAGAGAGGACTAGATCCTCTCCTTCCCCAAAGAGGAACAGAAACTGCTTAAAGATGTAAAGACAATCCCAACTCCATAAATTGGAGGAATTTTATAGCAAGGTCAAAAAGAGCCCAACTTTTAGTGCTACTGTATGAGATACCCTCTCACATCTCTTTACTCTCTTCCTTGTGGTCCAAGCAGAAGAACAGGACTTCAGGAAACAGAATAAGCTTCTAGACCTTGTGTCTTACCCCAACAGAGACAAAGAATAGGATAAGTTGAGAGGAGGAAGAAAGATTCAGGAAAGTGGGAATATGACTAGAGTTATGCATTTATTACTGGTTTTGTATTACTACTGGTGTCTGATGGACAGAATAGCCAGGAACAGTTATGCACCACTATATATAGACTGATGAATATAACCTGCAAAGGAATTTTAGAAAATGTAGACCTACACTAGCCCTGACAGATATTCATAGCTGTCAAAAATGCAATCAGGCTCAGAGTGATGTTAAACAAGATGATTAATATTTCACCAGAAAAATGTAGCTTTTGTAAAAAATTTATTCCTACAGTGGTAGGTTGATGTCAAAGGGTAAGTAAAAATTCTAGAAAAGTGGTAAGCTATAAAGGAAGTATTCTACATAGCACATAGGTTTAATGAGGGAAGAAAAACAGGTTCCCTAGAATGCCAAAGAAAATTAATCTCTTCAGACAGTAGAAGAAAGCAATTTCTGAAAAGGCAGATACTCAATACTTACAACTCTTTAAAGCTCAGGCAAACAAAGTGCAAAAACCACTGACAAAATGAAGTTGTGTGTGGTTTTTTTAAAACCATTATTCAATAGAAACCACTAATACCGAACATTTCCTGGGCAAATTAGCAACAACATGTCACATTCTCTTATTCAATGCTAACTTAATCCCCTTTAAAGGTTTTTAGGATTCCAGACATAGTAACACGAACACATTCAGCAAGTCTCTTGAAACTAGTCACAATCGTAAATAATCCTAAAAATGAGTTAAGCCAGTTTTAGCAGCTAGTGAATCAATGAAAAAGCACATCAAGACATTTATTTGGTGAAGTACACTTTAATCCTCCCATTATCTTGTCAAACACCTTCATTTTCTGTCTGTTGCATTCATAATATACACAAAATCTACAAAAAATTAACATATTTTCTTCACATTTTGCTCAGCAGTTTGTCTCAAACACTAGACTCTCAAAACAGTGGAAACAGACCATCAAAAACTGTCCACCAAATGGGAGAATTAGCGAGGAACTGCCTAAAGCAACACAAGCTTTAACAAATAAATTGTGGAATCTGATCAAAACCAGCGGTTCTGAAAGTCAAACCACAAACTCAACATGTGTGTAAAAACCTCTTAAAGAGACAGACAGTTAAATATAAGGCAAAGTGTTTCTCATTAGGCCATGTTCTTACAGATTTGCATTGTCATTTTTGTTCTGTTTTCTAAGCCAGACAAAATGTACGACAAGAAACAGAAAGCAATTAGTAACCTTTGGAAAGCCATATCCCCTTTCTAGAACCTTAGAAATTATTTTTTTAAAATACCATTTATAAAAGTAAACTTTCTGCTAGTTAAAAACAATGAAGACACCCACCTTGAAAATGATAGGAAAATGGGAACAGAGAACCTCGCAGACAATTGTACCGGCCCCCAAACTGGATGGAGCAACTAAAATATGCAGCAATGTGCAGAACTAGTTGCTGCTTTGTCACTGAGCATATCCTGTTCACTGTTCGTTTCGCTTGTATTAAAGGAGAGGATTTGGGGAGGGTTAGAGAAAAGGATATTTTTGTGCAATTTACTGGAATAAATTAATGCCTTTTTGCAAATGGTTTTGCATTTTTGTAACTTCCTCTGCTGTATTTTTTTTTCTTTCCCCCTTTAAAAGATACTTTACTAGTGCTTGGCAAGTTGTCACCCTTGAGAGCAGAGGGGGAATTAGCTTACTTCAATAATTGTTCACTGTGTAGTAAGCATCTGGTGATTTTCAGCTGCTTACATCTCAGCAACCGAAAGAGGTACTGCACTGAAAACTGTCAGCTCACACAGAATCTTGATCTGTAAAACATAGTAAAATTTAATAAAACTTGGTTCAGCCATTGCACACTCCATATGCAAAGGAAACGTTCACACTGACAAAAGGGTAACAATACAGTAGGTGTAACATCACAGCTCATTAAAACGATATAGATGGGGGAATTCTCACACCAAATAAGAGACTTTAAGTTCCAAAGTTGGCCCAACCTACTGTGGGCACAGTTGTGGCCCAGGGTCTGATCCAACTCCCACTGGATCAGTGGATCAAGACCAGTTTGACTAAGTAATGGTTTGTGGAGTGTCCAAGAAAAACTTTTCCACTTTAGCTGATTTGTGAGGAAGAAAAACCAAACCATAGAAAGATGGGAATTATTAATACATGGTAGGAAAACCAAACAGTACCGCATTGGCATTGTGCAGCATTGTAGTACGTGTGTATTTTCGGGAGATTTTCCTATTTTAAAAAAAAACACGTTTAGATATATTTAATAAAAAATGAGTGATTATGAAATGAAATATAATAATTTCATTAGGCAGGAGCTTTTTTCACTCAAGCTTATACCCACACTACCAAAACCCAATTGTTTATATAAGAGCCAAAAGTGAAACAACATGTTCCCATGAAGCTACAACACACAGTATAGTAATTCATGCAGAATTTAGTTTTTACTGCATTTTAGACTTTGATTTCAGAAGCCATAAAGGCTATGAATGCACTGGATACAGTGCCTGGTATAAGGGGAGGAAAAATGAGAGGGCTAACTCCTATTCTGTTATTGAACAGCTTTGTGACCCATTGAAGTCAATGGAATAGCACCAATGTAGCCAGAGTCTTTGAGGATTATTGTAATTTTCACAAACGTTTCTGTTTGATACATTGCAAACAAGCAGCCAGCCTCATTATCTGTCATACACCCAATGTAACAAAAATGGCTGAACCAAATTTTAATAATTCTTATGTTTTATAGCCTCTATTTGGCTGTCATATCCCACTGGAAACACAGTTGTAAGCAAGTCTTGTAACGTGATCTCTCCCCCTCAGTAGGATATATTTAATAATTTTGAGAAACTTAAGTGTAAATATGGAAAGAAGACTAAACTACATCAGGGTGTTAGGTGAAAATGGAATTAACAAAAGTTGTTCTCTAATCCAATGATGGGTTCTGATGTAGCATTTAGATATGAATGGCTTTGAGGGGAAGAGCAAGAAGAAAAGAAGTTACAGGTTAAAAGGTGTATATTTATTACTAATTGTAAAGGAATTAGAGATGGGTCCAAACCAAACTCTGGGAAAGTGCAGACCAGGAATCAGATCCAAACTTTGTGACTCAGGTCCATCTTTTAAGACATGCCTTTTAAAAGGTTGTTACTCAACTCTGCAAAAACAGTCTTTAGCAGATGGTAAGCAGTAATTGCCTCCACCTAGGCAAAAGTAGCAATTAGCTAAGACTAGGTCTGTTCTCCAAGAGTTACCAGTCTTCTCTAATCTAGGCTCCCTGCCTCTTCCCCTTAACACCCCCTTCTTTCCTCCTCCTCCCCCCATTGAAAAAACAGACCTTGTGTACACACTGTCCTGGCATTTTTACACCTGTGTAGCCCCGCTTTGAGCCTTGTCTACAGTAGTAGTCTCACCACTGCCAGCATCCCTGGAGCTGCATTGATGTTAAAATGGTAAAATGAGAGTCAGCAAATTTAGTTTGGGTCAGTCAAGTGACAAGGTTTCCCCCAAAACACTACAAAGATGTCTCCGAGTTTAAATGATACATGTATCCCAGCAAGAGTAACTTCCAAAGAGACATTCTGTATCACAGAGTTCATTTCCCATATCTCACACAGCTGTCTGAATGGCAGAGTAAGCAGTCACATAATGAACTCCTGAAAGGTAAAAACTCCCTTAGCTCCACAAGTCTCCCTCCTTCAGGTTTATCTGCACCTCTACAGCCTTTCTTGGCACTCTATACTTCAATCCTGTCCCATCACAAAGCAAACCAGTTCTCTTTTAAACTCACTGATACTATTTGCTGCTAGTTTCACTTGGCAACTTATTCCATATGTTCACTACTGAGTGTGAAGCATCTCTGTTGGAATTCTCTGCATTGCTCTTAATTTCTTAATGGATAGATAGTATCTTCTTCTTCTTCTTTGGAACCTCCCAGAGAAAGAGCTCATTCCACTTTACCAAGGCCCTTTCATAACTGCAAGCTGCACTTTAACAACTGTGTCAAGAAAAATGAAACACCCAGTGGAAGGAAGGAGAGGGTAACAGTGACAGCACCAATCACCTGCACCTTCTGAGCTCCAAGCTCCCTCCCAGCTCTCCCATAAGCCCTGTGTCATGTTCAATCATATTTACTCCAGTCGTGGATCCTGAGACAACATGGAATTGACGGGAGGGCTGGAAAGAGAACGGCTGCTGCAAACCGACAATGATCCAGGCGGTGGGTTTCCCAATGATCCAGCCTGACAGCTGACATTTCCAACCTAGGTGTGCCAACTCTGGGAAGATGTTTTGTGCTTACAAAATACTGTGGTTAGTGTCTGTCACACACAACTAATAAGCTTTGTGAATCGTGAAGAGGGTGAAACCTGTTTTGAATAACTTACAAAAATTGATTGCTTAATCTGTAAAATGGGGCTAATGATACTGCGCGCCTTTGTAAATCACATCTAGATCTGCTGTTCCTAAGTGCTACTAATAAATTGGTCCTCTAATAGAAGTGAAACAAAGGGTACTCAGTACAGTCTGGAATACACACTGGGGTGGTCTCTTAAGACTGGAGGTTGCTTACCAAGGGTGGCCTCTGGACCAGGTTTCACTCTAATAATTACATCATCATCATCATCAAGTCTGCCTTGAATGACAATGTTCAGGGTTTTTTTCTGTGTAGCCAGGACGTTTAAGGTCCCTATATCCCTGTTAACTACAACTGTTAAGCATCCTTGAATCTTAACTACTTATTTTGATTTGCCTTCTTTCCCGGGGTCAGTAAATCCTGTTTACTGAACGAAGCCATCTGGGCTAATAGCTTCCTGGATTCTCCCATACTAAGAACTGGATTGTACACTCCTTTTAAGCAGGCATAAACTCCCACTGATTTCAGAAGACATTGCCTGAATAAGTTGTGTAGGACTGTTCTCTAACCACCTTAAGGCTTTTACAGGAAAGTACTCCACTTATCGTGCACTCCTTGGTTTTGATACAGTCTCCCAGAATTGTATATTTACATTTATTTACATTATTATTTGTGTTACCGTAGAACCTAGATGCCCCAGAGCTCCATTGTGCTAGGCACTGCACAAACACATATGAATAGACAGCCCTTGCCCTGAAGACCTTACGGTCTAAGCAGACAAGACAGACAAAGGACAGGAGAAAGGAATCATCATCATCCCCATTTTACAGATGGGAAATGGAGGCATGGAGAAATTAAATAACTTGACCAAAGTCACAATGAGAGTCTGTGACAGAGCCAGGCACTGAAACCAGGTCGCCTCAGTTCCACTCCAGTGCCTATAAAAAAGAACTATAAAGCCTTTTAAAGAATTATCTTTAAAAATTTGTGCAAGACTCCAAATCACTATCACAACACAGTAGTATGGTTAATAATTACAAATACACGGTCATTTTAAAATAAAACATTAGTAAAGCTGTTCTCCCTTTACATCCCTGACATTGAGTCCAAGTTTCTGTTTCTCTTCTGAAAACATCAGATGATGTCAGTACCACCTAAACAGAACATATTCCTACACGGTGCTAGGCATTCCCAGATATTTTTATTATTATTATTTGTACAGCACCCCAGGTCCTTTACCTAGGTTTTAGGCCCTAGACAGCATGGCCTTTTACAGACATAGCCTTTGCTGAAAGAAGGTTAGAAATGAAGGGCCAAATTTTGCTCTCTTTACTCAGTGGGACTGCAATTGTGAGTAAGACAAGTAAGGCTGGACCCAGATTAGATGTATGATCATACAGATGATGGGAGAGAAGAGAAAGGAAGAAGGGAAAATTGTTCTGACATGTAAATGGGAGGTATTTGTTTTGCTCTTTTTAAAGGACATGAGGAAGTGGACTGTGCCAGGGTGGAGTGAAGAGATGGGCCCCCTCCTGAAGTCAATGGGCCGGAGACCCAGAGCCTGTATCTGCTCAAGCAGGCTCACTGGGGCTGAAATCTGATGAACAGGGCTGCTCTGCAGTGGAGCCAAAGCAGGGAGGCCCCACGCAGGTAAGACACACACAGTGTGTGTCAGAGAAGATCACCATGGTGAATTTCTGTGGTTTCCATTAGAGGGGAAATACAGCCTGGCCAGGACCATGGATTCACTGGGGAGCAGGCACAGCACTTTTCATCTGCTACTTCACCCCAAAATCGCTAGTAGTTGTGGCTCTCCTGTATTCTGAGAGTTGTTCCTTGGGCTGAGCTCACAGGGGACCAGATCCAGCAGGTATTAAGTATGTGAGCAGTCCCATTAATTTAAATGGGATTACTCACATGCTGAGATTAGGCATGCACTTAAATACTTTGCTGGATCAGGGGACAGATCAAATTTGCCTTGCATTCATTTGGGATATTTAACACGTATGTTTTAATTGAAATGGGCCTGAACTAAAGTCCCAGGTCCAAACAGCCCTTATGTCTGGGGTGTTTGTGATTTGGATCCAAATTTTGCAGCTCTAATTTGTAAAATATTTTCCTTTCCCGTTAATAGTTTCCAGTTTGGGGCTTAACACTACAGTGTAAAAAGCCTCCCAGCATTTCTCACTATTAGCCAGACCTCAAAGATTTTGGTATCACATTTGATATCCCACTTCCAGCACACATACAGCATTGTAGATGAGCAAGGCCCCAGACTGATCCACGAAGACCCATTTTATGCTTAATGTCCTCTAGAGAAATGACTTCTTACAGCCATTTGCTGCTTCCTGAATTTTTTCTTCTTCCAAACAACCAATAAGCAGGACTGTGTGGAACGTACCAAGCATTATAAAATGAATGCAAGTTGTTTGGTGCATAAATTAATGTTGTTCTCAAGCTGCATTAACTGAGCTGTCTTCTTTAGAATGAATCATCTACTTCAGGGGTCAGCAACTTTCAGAAGTGGTGTGCTGAGTCTTCATTTATTCACTCTAACTTAAGGTTTCACATGCCAGTAATACATTTTATCGTTTTCAGAAGGTCTCTTTCTATAAATCTATAATATAACTAAGCTATTGTTGTATGTAAAGTAAATAAGGTTTTTAAAATGTTTAAGAAGCTTCGTTTAAAATTAAATTAAAATGCAGAGCCCCCCAGACCAGTGGCCATGACCCGGGCAGTGTGAGTGCCACTGAAAATCAGCTCATGTGCTGCCTTCGGCATGCGTGCCATAGGTTGCCTACCCCCGATCTACTTTATTGTTATTTCTTCGGTGGATTCAGCATTTACGGCTGGGAATGCCTCTAATTTTATAATTATACCACCAGGACCTTTTCCACCTGCTCACCACCAGGGCATGGGACATAGAAGGAGCTAGTTTACTGGAGAAAATGTTATTACTAAATTGCAAAATCCTGTGTTAGTTGCACACATGAAACAGAGCATTATTTTGCTTTAATAGAGGGACCATCAGCCAGGTGTGCCTACCTGTTGGTGTTATACTCTAAACCCCCAACTTCCTTGCTCGCCTGCAAAAGATCTAGAATTCCTGCCGAACTTCCACTCTCTTTCTTCACTTTGGAGTTGCGGCCTGGCTTTGCCTCTGTGTCAATGTGAAGCGAATCTTCATCTGATGACTCATCAGTCTGTCAAAGCAAGGAAAAGGGTAAAAAAAATTGAAACAAGCTACATTAGTCAGCAAGCCGTCAAATAATTTTCGGCCCCCAAAAACTTGAGGACAGAACTGTTACTTTGCTTTCACTATAAAAGTTAGGGGCACAGTTTGAACGGGTCTCCTTATGGCTTTGTTGTTATATTATCTTTTCAGAGTCAGTTTAATGCTTCTGAGGAGTGCCAGACTTATGGAAGTCCCCTATTTATCTATCATCTAGGCAACAGCAGTGCAAGCTTCCCCACGCTACCTTTCCAATGTGCCTCACTCTTCTTCTGAAGGCATCCCTGCCCCCAAGCTAGAGAGTGTTCTTTCTTCAGGCCTATCCAGTGCTTTGTGTCACTGCTAAGACCACCAAGAAAGGATGCCGATTTCTACTGGTTTTGTATTATGAACATTTGTGCTCTAGCATCTGCACTGAGACAGTCATCTCATTTCACATCAGTCTGGCGGACACATCAAATGGGAATGAGAGCTGGGAGAATTTTTTTCAGTCAAACCGTGAATTTGCCAAAAAATGCAGTTTTGGGGCTCCTGAAACTATTCATGAATTCAAGTTGAATTCGGCCAATGGTTTTGGGCGAATAAAAAATTAGAATTTTTTTTTAAAGTCAAAATGGTTCATTTGGATATTTCATTTTGAAAAAATTCAGTTTTGGTTTGAAATTAAATAATTTTTTTCCAGTTCAAACACTGAACCAAAAAAAATCAATTATTCACTCAGCTCTAATGGTAACAATTTTGAGTCACTACTGGACTGTAACCATGAATGAATGTACAGGTGAGAAGTTCTGATTGCCCTTAAATTTCCTTGAGCCATCATGTCTCCCCAAACACAGCTAAAGAAGTCTACACTAGTCATGAAATCTGAATGCTTTGGATATATACAGTTTATGTCAACCGTCTACCTTGCTTCTTGCAAGTGATTCAAATCATATAATATGCATACAAATTGTCCCCTATTTAACTCTGAGCATGTGCTTAAATGTTATCCTGAATAGGAATGGACCAATGCATGTGCTTAAGAGCTTTCCTGAACTCTGACCATAAACAGTCCCATTGCAGCTAGTGAGAGTGCTCAAGCGCTTTAACATTAGGCATGTACCTAAGTGTCTTGCTGAATTGGGGGCATTATAGATGTGAGAGAGACGACAAGGAAAGAAAATTCTTCTTATGTACTCAGTAAATAAAGCCCTTAGTTATCATGTAATAGGTATCATGGGCATCCTGTAATATAAAACACCAACTATGCTAACACGCTGCTCACATTACTTTAAGATTAACTTGTGGAAAGTACTGTGTAGAAATGGATTAATGCTGACCAGTGCCCAAAGAAAATGAAGAAGTCGGGGAGCTCATTTACTGCCACAGGCCAGGAAAGAGTCCTGGAACAGAGCCCAGGTCCGTAGAACAGAGCCAGCAATGTAGTGCCAGTGTGAGCACTGCCGAGCGGGTCCCACTCACCCTCCAGAGAAGGACATGATTCCTCATGTTCTGTCTCCTTCTCTCGTTACCTGCTTACAAAGTTGTCCATCATTCCTGGTCATGTCTCTGTTTTGTATTACTTCCCTTTCCCCAGTGAAAGGAAAGGAAAGTGACAACATTTTGTTCCTGTAAAGCTATTTCCTATTCATTTCTTTGTCTTTTCTTCTCCCCAACCAGCCCTGTCCCTAACCTCCCTGAAAACTTTCCAGGCCCCTAATTTTCCCACAGTCTTCATTTCCCGCAGTGCAGGTACCATCAGTCTGGATAAGGAAGAATGGACAGGACTATCTTTGCAGTCCACTAACTCTGCTTCTTAATTGTCCAGAGGAATTGCTGTGAGTGACACATGCCATCTTCCTTCCCCACACAGACCGAGCATGCATCTGCCACAGCTGTGCCAGCCTATCATGAGACACCAGGGGCCCAACCCTGCCACCCTGGAAGACAATGGGAGTTCCTGGTGTCCTGTGGCAAGAGAATTGAGCCATACAACTCATTTGGGTGGAGAGTGTCTAACAATAAAATTCTGCAGACGGCTTGACAGGTCCTAGACTCCATTTACATTCACCACTGCAGTGGACAATATATGAGCAATCAAGTCACAGTAACAACTAATCCCGATCTGCTACAATATATTAATGCGATCCACCGCAGACATAGCAGGTCACTTCTAGTTAGCTAAATGAAAAGACATTACAGTTGGATACAAAGAAATCTACAAGTCTTTAGTACATTAAGGGTCTGATTTTCATTTACAGTAAGGCCCTTTTACACCACCCTGGCAGCATGAAGTGGCTTTAGAGTGGCTGCAAACATAATTCAATGACTATTTCATTGAGACTACTCAATACTCACATGTGTTTAGGTGGATCAAGGTCAGAGGACTCAGCACCCCATAGGATCAAGTCCTTAATGTATTTCTAAATGTGTGTAATGGCACACAGATACAACAGGGAAAAGTACGATAATAATAGAATACCTTATACAATTCTGATTCCACCTTTGGCTTCTTAACTGGTGTGTGTTGTAGCGTTTCTTTTTTATCTGATAAAACTGAAAAAAAAAAACAGTTAAAGTTGAGACAGACCTTTCACTAAACTCCAGAAACAACCTGTATAGCCTCAGAATACAATTTAAGTCCATTGTATTTATTTTAAATCTTGTGCTGCAAGTAATCTGTACATGTTCTTTATTTATTGTAAAACTTATAACAACTTTAACAAGTAGTTTTGAAGAATTGGTTACAATTTATTTGCACAGATATAGACAAAACAGGATGCAGTCTTACAAGGTAAATCTCTCTTCATAGTGTTTTTCTTTCTTCTAATTGGAAATTCATCAATTTTCAGTTCACCATCATCTGATACATACTCATATTCATCTCGCACAGGTTTTGTTTTATCTTCTTTAAAATTTTGCAGTGACCCAAACACACCAGGATTCAACTGGGTTTTGACTCCCTTGGAACTAGAGAGAAAAATATTATAAAATCCGAAATGAAAACATTTTCACACGGAAAACATATCAAGGAGATACACAGCCACATATCAAGGTAACATTTCTTATACATGTAGGAAATAAGAGCATGGTAGTTTTAAAGATAGATGACGAGTGGGCATTCACCCATGAAAGCTTATGCTCCAATACATCTGTTCATCTTACGGTGCCATAGGACTCTGTTGCTTTTTACAGATCCAGACTAACACGGCTACCCCTCTGATACTTAAAGATAGAGTGGCAGTTCACATTGGTTTGCATGTGTATTGTTTTGCACAGGTTTCACATGACCAAATCCTCAACTAGTGCAAATCGGAGTTGCTCCACTGACTTCAAATGAGCACTACGTTGAGCTTTGTTGGTTTGTCAATTAAGCTTTATTGATTTCTACCTGCTAAAGATCTAGACCATAATACAATCAATTTATATGCAATACACACATACTACATGAAATCCTTGCATTCCATTTTTAGTTGATTTATGTAGAATGTGCCCAGCCTAATCTCCGGGGAGACGTATATACAGGATAAAATAAAAACTCAAACTGACAAGAAGTCAACTCAGAAAAATATCCCTCCAGCCTGCAATTAAAGCTTAGTCCAGTTAAGGCACCATCCTCAAGCATCTGCCAGAGTGAACAGATAAACCTCTCAAATTGACATTATGGCCTAAAAATTTGGGTCAGATCAAATTCTAGAGATGAGAGTGCTCTGCCTGGATTGGGAATAGAGCAACTAACAAGCACTCCGATGGGGTCTCCATTTGCATGCGTGCCAGTTTCTCTGAGCCGTTGAGATGGAGGAGGTGGTCGTTAGGGCAGGAGCAGCACAAGCACTTCCTCATAATCGATAAATGTTGATGGAGCCAGTGGGAATTGCAGGTGGCCAGGACTGCTCAGGATTTGACTCATTGACCACAGTGGAATTTTTCCCTAATATTGATGCCAATAGAATAGTAGCACCTGGTTGAGTGTCCCAACCACACCTACCACTGACTCATTGTCATTTCAACCAATAGGCCTGCAATAAAATGAACTGTGGAGGAGGACGAGACAAAAGAGGAAAAGAAAGGGAGACGAGGAGGACAAAGCAAGAGGAGAGAAGATGAGAAGGGCACCCGATCAACTACAAATGGCACACAGGGATAGATCACAGTGCAGAATCAGGCAGAATGTGTCTCTCTAAAGAGCATATACAGTGTGTTCGGATACACACCCTGAAGGGCGGAATAGCTCCAGTTAAATGCTGCACTGACTACCAGTTCCAGTATTTTTTTAACATGTATATTATTTACTCAGTGATCCAGGTCTCATTTAATTAGGTAAATATTAGAACCATGCCAGAAAATAGGGGACTTTTTCTTTTACTACTGAGAAAAGTGGGATTCAAAAAAGCGTTAATGAAAAAATACTGGTGTTTTAGCCTAAGGCAAGTTTTTACAGCCAAGATATAAACTACCGTTAATAGAGATTTATAATTGACACATTCTAACTAGAGTACCAATGTAAAACGATACATATACAAATTAATCTGAACTGCTACTATCTCTGTAAAACCACTACTAGGGATCCGATTTCATGACTAAGAAATATTTTAAGCATATTGTAGATAGAATTTACTTACGGTACTTAAAAATAATAAAAACGTAAGCACAATTTTTACTTTTGAACATAAGGACAAGTTTGTCACCTCCCTGTCTACACCCCTCCCCCCCAATATAGTACATTTATCCTTTATAATTCAATGTGTATTGCCACATTTTTACTTACCCGAGCAGTTTCTTGTTAGAGAAAGAAAATGTAAATTTATTGTCCTTATTTCCTGATAAAGGTGTCTTTTCCAATTTGTGTTCCTCTTCCATTTTTAATAATGAATCTGGTTTACTGTTCTGCAAATCATGAAAACAGCAACAAAATTAGGTTAATATGTTACCAATATTTTTAGATTGCTAAGCAAATTCTGGTATTTATTACTAAATAATTAGGATACACAGAATGTGTATGTGTACGCTCACACACAGAAATGTAGATAGATAAATGGTTTAGTTTTCACCTCAGTTAGGCCCAATTCAGGAAAGCATCCCTGTTGAGGATAGCACTTAAGCACACATTTAACTTTAAACAGATGCTTAAATCCCTTTGAAGACAAAGCTTGCTAAGCATATGCCTAAAGATGAGCACGTGCTTAAGTGTTATCCTAAATGGGGATGGTCTTAAGCATGAGCTTAAGGGCATTCCTGAATCAGGTCTTTACCCAGGTGCTCTTCCCAATGAAGTCCATCAGAACTGTACCCACTCAACTAAGGGCAAAACTAAGCATTGGATCCATGATCTATTAATCAAAACAGTTCTTTGGGATTACCCACCGGCAGAAGCTGTCTTTGTGGCAGAATGCTATTGCCACAAAGTGTTTTCAAATACAGTTTAAAAGGAGGATAGACCTCCCTCCATTGTCAATATTTTGAACTTGTTACATAGAAGAAACTTGGAAACTGGGATCTGCCTGGATCCAGTGAGTCAAAAGCAACAGGGAACAATCCTTATTTTGGCTCCCTCAAGCAGCAAGTCTCTTTCCGAGACCGGCTCACGTAGAGAATGCACTGTCACGTCATACATCTAGCAACTTAGCAGTTACAGGCACCCTTTTTTAAAAGGATGGGATACGATAATACTTCCTTTTCCCTCTGGAAGGGAAGCTTCAGAATTTGCCCCTTAATCTACAGTAGAAGCAATAATTATTACATTATGTATTTTATATTTTTGGATTTAACATCAAATCAGTTCGAATTTTGTTTTGTTTTTTAAATACAACCCTTGCTCTCTTCTAAACTGTATGGGCACTATCCTCAACTGGTGTATATTAAAATACATTACCACCACCAGTCATCATCTGGTGATCTGGCTCAATGAGAGTAACTTCTTTGCTGATAACAGGAAGATATAGTTATTCTCTCTTTTTTATGTATTTTTGGCAGGGGTGTGTGTGTTAGGGTGGGGGTAAGCAAACAACAGTTTTGTTTCATTTTAAGGAATGATTAATCCTTTCTCATAAGAAGCCTGTAGAATGCTCTGAAATTAAGACTGCAGCTATTACAGAATGAATGTTATGGATTACATTCTTTGTATTGCTCTGAAATGGTCTGGAGTAAGATTATTGCACTCCAGGAGTGAATTCAATCTACATTATGTATCTCAGGAGCCTGTCTCAATGAGGCAAACTTTTAAATATATAGGGCCTGATTTGGATCTCTCTCACTCTGGTTTGACACCATTGTGAGTCTACTGATTTCACTGGAATTACTGCAGATTTAAACTGGTGTAATTCAGATCAGAATCATGACTACAGAGTAGGGGTAGGATTATTCAGCGCTGTATACAATTATTTTCTGACTGAAAATCTTCCTTTAATTTTCCATAATTATTCTAACATCTTTCCATAATTTGGGGGAGGAGGGGAGGCTGATTCTCTGTGTGCTTACACCTCTGTAAATCAAGAGTAACACCAAAGCACTCAATGGAGTTACACTTTGTGAAACCAATGAGCAAGTCTGGGATTACGCCCTATATTTGCACACTGTTTGTACTATACTCTGCTAGAAGTTACACTGCTTCTTCCCCAATTTCTAGTATTTCCCATTGCTGTGAGCTACTGTACTCCAGTGTGGCAGCACAAGTTAACAACAGACTTTACCTTGTATTTCCATTTGGCTTCCGTTTTGCTCTTATTGTGCTCTCGAATTTCAAATTTCTCCACCTCATTTTGCTTATTAACAACTTCCTTATTGGGAACACTTAAAACATTCTTTGCAGCCTGTAAAAAAATCACCACACTCCTAAGCAGGAAGGAGATGAGCTCCAATTTTCCCAAGTTAATTATCTCTCCCTTTATAAACATATATCTGAATCGTCTGGAAGACAGAAATATTTTACACCAAAAAAAAAAAAAATCGCACTGACACTGATTCTTTTTGACATAATAGCTGTAGAGTCAATCAAATATTAATGCTCAAAGAAATTAGAAAATTAGTTTTGTTTCTCCCTTGCCACGGTCACTATAAAGAATGCTTTCATCTCCTACCTGTTGCTTCATAGGCAAGTTTCACAAACTGCGTACAAACTACTTTTTAAAAGCCTTAATATTATTTCTTGTAGAACCAACTTTAAACAATTAAGTGTAATGGGTGGCAACCTGGTTCCATTGCAAAACTCTCATTACATCAATGGAACCAGGATTTCAACCACTGTGTTTTAATTTTTCCTGCATGAGACACCCAAACGTAAGTCTTACTTCATGCTACTGAAAAACCATTGAGAGTAGTTAGAACAATGTGACGCACCTTCCCCTTCTTTGGCGTTTCAATTTTTGTCAAAGCCTCTTTCGTGTGCGCCTCCAGCAGGTCCAGATTTGGAATGGCGGGTGGTGGGCTTTCCTTTACCTTCTTTCCTTTCTTCTTCCCTTCTCCCTTGACTTTTGGAGTTTTGGGCGGTTTGGGAGGTTTGGGGGGCTTGGGCGGTTTAGGGGGTTTGGGGGTTTTCACAGCTTTTGGAGTCTTTTTTTTCGGAACTTTTTCTACGGGTGGCGGAGGGGGAGTCACTGGTACAGGCGACGGCACTTCCTGCTTCTCCACAGGACAGATTTCCTCTACTTTCACATTGGCACTCACTTCTGTTTTGTTGACTTTGAAAGCATTCTGTAGTTTGGCAGAACATGGAAACACATTCAGTTCCAACTTCAAGACCATTAGTTATTCTGCAGCATCTCCCCTTCCTCGTGGGAAATAAAACCCCAACACCTTCTTATAAAGATAAGGATGCTCATGTCCAGGCTGGACAGGAAACATAGAGAAATCCTCAGGGAGACTCCGGCTTTCCAGCATGCACCTGCACTGTTCCCTCCCAGCTGCCACTGCAGAGGGTGTGGCCAGGTAAAAGGGACGAGGCTGGGGTTCCCTTATAACCAGCTGATCCCCACATCCCAGAACAATCCCTGGGAGCTGCTGACAGCCAGCACAGATTACAGGTGCTTCGATCTCCACCAGAGGCTGGACTGGTACTCAGGGGACTCAGGAATAGTAGCACAAAGGTGCCATTAAAAAAAATGCACCACACTAAGGACTCCGGTGGGGTGATCCGCAGCCACTCTGGATAAACTTACTAATTGTCAGACTTATTTGTAAAGCTGCATTTGATTTTCTAAAGTATAGGGATGCTTGTTCCAAACAAGACCAGTCACATAAGCTATACTTCCATAAGCAGAAAGTATCAAAGAAGCTAATATTAATTAACTACACTTTAAGACGCAGAGTCAATATTTCCTTAGTTTGGTCTGTGGGTTTTATTTTTCCTTTTCTTTTATCCAGAGAATTCCAATATGGAAAAAAAAACTTGTGAAATTAGATGGTCTTGTGTTTAAAATGCAAATCAGACATAACAGAATACATTTCAAATTAATTCAGATGTGATAAATGCAGCAGAACCATGTTTCACACCCCCAGGTAAAATAAGCAGTAAAAAGCTGCACAATTAAAATCAGCAACTTCTGACTAATTAAAAAGAAATTATTTTCTGCTTAAGTTGCCATTCTGATTTTACGTGAAAAGGCATAAAAGGAAGAGATAGATTTCAATGTCAGTGACTTAAGGCATGGGTAGGAAAGAGGTGGAGCAAAACTAAATGTCGGTCTCAAAACATGACAGAGCATAATAGTGCATCTGTGATTAAATATACGGGGCTATCTATTACTCTAGATCCACTGTAGGACTCCCACCAATATCAATGGGTAGTGAGCATGTGTGTTAAGAGGCGTACTATAGATGGCCTAGAGGTTTAGGTGCCATGTTATTATTAATCATGTTTATTCCAGTAGTGGCTAGGAAGCCGTCGAGCTAGGCACTGTACAAACAGAGTAGCAGTAGACAGGCCCTGCCTCGAAGAGCTTACAGTCTTAACAGAGAGTGCTGTTGAAGGTATGGGAAGGGGTGTAACACACGAGCAAAGTGATCAATAGGATGGTGGCAAACATCACGTTAATTCCATGATTTTTTTGTGGGGGACTGGAGTGAGTTAGGTGGGGATTAACTAAAGAGCACGTGAAGGGAGGGGGGTGAACAGGACAGAGCAGATGCGAAGAGGAAGGGGAGGAAAGAGGAGAATAAGGAGGAGTAGATGTGGATTGAGGCTGAGGAAGAGATTGTGAGGCAGGGTAAAAGGGGGTTTGGAGCAAACAGCCAATCAGCACAGGAGATAGAATGCCTTAACAACATCACTGTTCCTAAATTTCCCATTAATTTTCCTGATAGGAATGTAATGAGAAAGGGATTCACTTATTTCAATAATCCTGCATTTTATGCTGCAGTTTACGAAAAATGCATGATGTAGTTAATATTATGGAAAGAACACAAACCTCACTTAATCTTATTTCTTTGGCAAGGTCCTTGATAAGTTGTGCTGGTTTAAAATGTTCCGGAAGTTCATCTTCATGGTCGGCTAGAGCCTAAAACAAAACACAGCCACTGTGCTGTTTTCACATCCTTAATATTATTCTCACACACAATCAAAAGACTTGTCAACTGACCCATCTATATTTTTTTCTATTTGTTCAAATCAAGTAACACAAACAACATTAGATGATTCCGTTCAACTAAGAGACAAATATGTTTTTACCCTGTCAGTGTGTTATTTCTGCTCCCTATGGATAACTACTTATAAAATCAATAGTTCTTTTCAGACAGTGTGTGTGATTTTACAGCTGTAGCACTTCCTTGCTTTCCTCCCTCT